GAAGAAAGGCTCAAGCCTAAAACACTATCGTAAAATGTTTCAACAAGAATGCTGGGTTGTGAACAAAACTTTCGCCCCAGGCGGGACTAGAACCCGCACCTCTCGCTTTCCGGGCAAGTGCGCTACCAGTTACGCTACCGGGGCACCATTTCATCCCAACTCAGCTTCTTCATGGTATACGTACCATAGCTTGTCAGCACTATCAGTAAAGTTTTCAAAGAAAAGCTTTCGAATTACACTCATTCTGGTAGTGAAAACCAGTAAATGTTGACTACATGCGTCCTTCAAATCGGATTACTGCCATAGTGCCCCTAGATCACTCTAAGTTTTGGCAATCAACGAAATAACTTTGAGTTATTCACTTTTTGTAAGTTAACGGCACGAAATTCAGCGATGTGAGGGGAAGCGGTGGCGCTCGTAAAACGGCGTCAGTCCCACGCCACCAAAAGCCAAATCAGGCGTCGTCGTGAATGTGTTAAACCCTGTCTCAATAATATTTCAAATAGATATTGCACGTTCGTGTTCCATCAAACCCTTCCGTTGAGCATTCGTAAATCGCCTTATGGAGCAATCCCAAACGTAATGAGACAGAACCTCATACTCAGCGAAAACAAACAATACGCAGCACATTCTACAGAACCTTCGACGAATCCCTCAATGATCCCGCGAGAATTACGCTATGTGATTATCGGTCTGTTGGTCTGATGTGGTCGGATGTGACGATTATTTCGTTCAATTGTTGCATAATCGCCGTGGATAACCGCCCCATGCGATCGGAAACTACAAAAGGCAGCCGTGGCGCTTCGAGCCGCTCCATTTACTCCACACATTCTATCGAAACGTTTAAAAACATTCCTGGAATGCTCCGAATCTGCTTGTGCCTCGCTGTTTTTGTAATGGCCATGGCCGACGAGACAGACATGCAGGCGAAAGCAAAGCAGGTATCAACAACCCACTCATCGAGAGCTACTGTAACATAGCCACGAGTTTCAGCTGGAAGAAGACTTCAAGTCGAATATGTCCCCCGAGCAAAAGAAAGCCAAATTCAACGAATTCCTCACGAGCCTTGGAGGCGATTACAAGGTATTCGTAATTCAAACCTAGTTTTCAGAGCACTACCTTTCTTTCATTCACACAAAATCGCACAAATTAAATTTTTATGTTTACAAATTGGTATAGGTGCCCATTGCCGATCTCTCCAACATCGTGTAACCTGAATGAGTGTGAGTGCCCGATTCCCATGCTCTCTGAAAATTTTCTCGGATCCTATCAGATCCGAACAAAACAGTGTCTCCGTAATCCGTAATTTTGTCTTGATGGATGCACATCCACCGTTTCCTATTAGTGCTCGAATAATTTTGCTTGATGCATTTCTACGAATCAGTTGGGTTATTCCACGACTAGCCATGAGAATAGATCATATTCCAATCACTTAAGGGGTTATTATGGCCTAATTTATGAGCATCTCATTAATCGCGCAGAGCTGCCAACTGGGAGCGTGTCATGGAGCGTACGCAAGGAGCCTTATTTTTGCAGCTCAAGGACCGGCATTTGTCTATTGTATGAAAAACTGGATGTCTGGATTTGTCAGCCTTTTGTAAATTCGTGATCCGCCGCAAAATGCACCTTCAACATTAGTTGGTGTGATAAGAGGTATGGTAAGCCTACCAAGACCCGCTAACCAATCGGTTTCGAATTGGTATACTATCGCTAGGATGCTATCAGTGATATCATAAGGTGCAGAAAGCGATAGCAGTAACTGATTGCTAGCTTGCGTATCAATGCTGGGTTCTCAATATAGAGTGATCTTAAGACTTTACTTGAAGCTTTCCTTCGTACAAGGCATTCATTTCGTGCATTTCACAACATGCCAACGTCGCGGAAATCAGCACAGGCAGAATATGTGCAGCGTAAGCGGCATAAAAGGAATTCTCATAGCTAACGGGCTGAAACACTGGTTTCTGAATGGAAGGTATAGTATCGGATAAGCTACTCATTACAAGAGATTATCAGAGAAGTGCTCTGTCTGTTTTCCACCACCAGCGCAGCGAGGGACGAGATTACGTCAGGTGCGTCAGTGGCCCAGGACATGAATAGCATGGATGGTGTTTACAGATCATGAAAATAATTTTGGAGCTACAACTTAAATCCAGTAATTTCTTCATTGGCTAGAATCTCAAAATGCTAGATGTTTGAGCCCAGCTGCCTAAACATTGTTCAGCCCTTTCGCTGGAAAACCCTTGAAACTCGTTAAACAGACGTCATGTATCTACTTCCCACGCTATGCAACACACTCTCAGTTCTGTTCTTGACTGAGTTTCACTCAACAATTCTCAAAAGCCAAAGGGTTTATGTAGCAGTTTCGGAAAAGACATCAAACTGAAACTTCCATTCAATTACTCTCGACACAATTGATAGGGAGTAATTGGAATGAGAGATGATGGGGTTAACTTAGGTGTGTCCCCCAAGAAGCCCGTCGCGCGGTAAAGGACGAGTCGCAGCGCGTGCTGTGCGATATGAGACGTAGTATGGTACACTCTATTTAACCTGACGCCTAACCGCTACAGTATGCGCTGCGACTCGTCCTTTGCCGCGTCTGCGTCTCTTCCTTCGCCGCGCGACGGGCCTCTTGGGGACACTCTAAAGTTAGAAGTAGTGGCTACGACAACTTGATTCTAAATAAATATGAAAGCAAAAGCGGAAGTGGCAAATTGTCTAACAGTGAGAAGAAATCAGAAAAATTGCCAAGGCCTCCAGAAGCAAACCCTTCTGCTGTTCGATTTCGGACGATTTATGGCTCAGTAGTGACCTGGGTTAGGGTGCCCCAGCAGAACACACAACACTGCAAGGTTAGAACCTATGTTTGTTCCGAATTGGGTGCGCTTTCAGAGTAGCGCTTTCGGAGTGAGCGGTAATGACAAGAGTATCGTAATATCGGCAACCTCGCTTCAGGACGCATGGAGAATGGGATAATTTCTGGGCTCGAAGCCTCCTGCATTCCAAACGCTGTGAAAACGAAAAACTTCATTTTTCCACTTGTTTGACTTCATTCTCACTGAGGCATGTGCCCTAACTTCTACTTCCGAACTATCGTACTCACTCTCCTTGAGCGAAATGCCGAGAATGTCATCTACTGTGCTCTATTGTGCTTTTGCGACCACCACTCACAAACGTTCCACCAAAAATTAGCTCTCTATGAGCTCTTTTTCATTATTAACTGTTGATTTTAGCCGCTGTTATCACGAGAGATTTATCTCTTGAATCTTTTGGGACCATTATTCAAGCTTCAGAGGAAGGCATGATTTTTTTGTGTTCATCATCCTTTCACCAATTCGTATCAGCAAGCCAATATTTGACTTAAAAAATGGAAAATGGACTCATAAAGTATTTAACTGAGAAATAGAGCATCTATGCTAATTATAATATTGCTAAAAATTAGGATAGGTAGTTAGAAATCTACAGTTTTTGATATGTATTGCAGTGCTCAGGAACATAATTGGGTTAAGAAGGTAAGAAATGTGCACTTTCTGTCATCCTACACTTTTGCGGTAAAAAATAGTTTGATTTAGGAAAAATTCGATTCTTTGATCAGCGAAATGAAGACGAAGCTCGCGTCGAGCACCAATGAGAAGGCATGTTCGATAGATATTCGCAAACACTCTGAATATGCAGTGTAGTTCTATCTTTGCAGGTGAAAAATCTTGGAAACAGACTTCTCAGCCAGTTCGAAGCGGGCGCCTTCTTCAGTGGTATGGAGAACGCCAAAGCGATGGTTAGTGAAATTATTGCGTCGGACTACATGGCCGTCATTCCACCATGGAGCTTGTAACCCCTACAAGCGTAATGCACTTCCAATGGCTTTCAAAACTAATCACTTCCCAATTGCTGCAGTTTACTACAAATTACGCCCTCCGCCAATCTCCAGGGACGGAAGTAAACTACCCATAACTCTTAGTCAGAGGTGGTGATTAAGGGCCCCTATGATGAAATCAGGAGTCAGACAACGGCAAATTAACCCAAGATCAAACCACGAGGTTCTCATCTGAAGGACAAAGGTAACAAAAACAAGAGAGAAATGAACAAAAAGCGAAAAGGGCTGCACAATGCAGCTGAAGAATATGTGGGACTGCAGATGATCCTTTAACTCCTACTTGTAGAACCGGTCAGAGAAAAAAAAGAACGTTGGACTGAGGAGGCGCAGATACCTAGATACAGATAGATATGTTTGCCTTTTTGACCCTCCACTAAATGGTCCTCGGGAGCACTTTTTACTGGAGGGTAACTGTGACATCTGCGTCTCCTCAATTCCGTGGTCTTTTTCTTTTCTTGCTCGATTACGAATTTGTTATGATTTAATGTGTTGGGCAGTGCTTCAAACCTGTTAGCAAACCTTCACTTTTATCGGAACTAATCACAACACATTAAAGGCAAACTCCGGGATTGAACTGGTGCTATCAGCGCTTGTAGTGATAGCTTAGCTGCGGAACGACCTGAAAGTGGAAAGGAAAGCAAGAGAAATCTTTGGAACGCTGAAATTAAGGCCTTAACCTTCAAAGGGTCGGATGTGGTACGATGGCGAGACAGGGCGGTCAAAGAAGACAAAATACGCGAGAGAGCACGTCGTTTGAGAGAGCACGCTGATCTCACCACCTCTCGCGGTGGGTGGGAAGCGTTGGAACGGGTCGATGGTTGCAGGCCCGTAAGGATTAGCGCCCTAACCGCGCAATTTTGCGACGAAGCTGGAGTGATCTAGGTAGGTACGGACCTTACAATTTCCCTCGTGGTATCCCTCCTACTAGTCGGGCAATCCCGGGGACTTGCCTTTGAATATGACCTGAGTTAAGGGAGATTTACTGCTGTCCCAAATGTCTTCCACCCACCCCGATTTGAAATCCAATCCCACCTAGCTAATGTGAACAGTCTCTGCTCTAGAGTGTAATGAGTAGAAGCTCATTGCAGATTACCAAGGAAGTCGCCGACGCCCAGCTTACCGACGCTGACAAAGCAGAAATGAAATCAATGAAAGAGGAGTTTGGACAGAAATTCCATAACATGTTCAAGGGTGTTCTACCCAAAGGAGGTATGTGAAGCCCCTTTTGCTCACCAATTTGAAGCTATCACTACTAATTACTAATTGGTAGCATCTTTCCTACAATCGGAGGGGCTTAGTGGTGGAAAATATATTACATCGCATATGTGAGCGATGAGTTGTACGAGTCAGCTGTGTAATGTCATGTGAACAAATTAGAACATGGAATCGTCGGCAGTAGTATGGAATAATCTCGAATCAAAGCGTTCAGGGGTTCTTCCCTGCAAGCAGAGATTATAGCAGAAACACTCACAAAATTCTCGGCTCTAGGGGATTTTAATCCCTGAGGGATTTTAGGCACGGAGGAGGGTTAGAGCTTCAGAAGGGCATTTTTTCCAGCAGTAACATTTTTTTCTGAGCGCTATAGTGTATTCAGAGCAATGGAGCGGTGAGAAAGAATCCACGATGTAGCTCAAGACCAAAAAGAAAGTGATGGATTTCAGGTCATAAACCTCATTCCTGTCTCCTACACACTAGTCAACTCTTGAGGGTTTATGGCAGGGTACGAATGACTCGAGACTATATCACAAGAATGCTGAATTGCGAGCAAAACTTTCACCTCAGAGATTCGAAAGCGGACCTGCTTTCCGGGTAGTTGTAACAGCAGTTACTCATTTTTTTCAAACTGGTAGCAAAGCCCCGATTGTCCCGAAAGCAAGAGAATTCGGGTACGAATTCCCGGCTGGGGCGACGTGCCCACAACTCAGCATTCTTGTGATAAGTTTCGCAACGCGAACTGCGGCGTAAAACAGCAGTTATCCAATAAAACAAGTCACTTCATCTGCATTATCAAGAGGAGAGTTCTCTTAATAGAGTTCACACGAGAACACGGTAAATGACGTCCAGCCCATATTTTTTGACCACTTATTTGTTAAACACCTTCAAATCTGGTCAGGACTGACTTTTTTCATCTCCTCTTCTTCGCTCTATCAAAGTTTCATACCGTTGACTGAGGTGTTCCAGGCGATTTCGCCTTCCAGTACTGAAGATCAGTAAAACGTTCTATTTAGGCCATGCGACGCCTGCACCCCCGGCATGAGCAGCAACTACTCGCTCCGTCTACAACGATTTTATTATGCATAAACTATAAAGTCTAGGTTTTTGTAACACATATTTTTGCAGGGACACACAGTTAAAGTTTGCATGTCGAGTGCATAGACAAGATCAGTTACAGCAAACAGCAATAGCTGTGTGACTGGGCCCAAAATGCACCTCCCATTAAAATTTTTTTTTTTTTTTTTTTTTTTTTTTTTTTTTTTTTTTTGTTTGAAGCCCTATCGAAGGACCAAAATCACAAGCACTAGTTTTTCAAGCTATTCATCTGACACAAAATATAATTTCAAAGAACCCACAATCCATTGTCGACTATTCCGGCGGTTTGCTGCACGTACTGCTCAGCAGCACTCTTCATTGGAGTAGAGATTCATTGGGCTGTTGTATTGAAGATGTTTAACTCGCGGATCGGCACTGAATGGAAGAGCGGGCGCGTTGAAACCTTGAGGAGCACGAGTCTGTAAGCAGCACCAAGTCGAATTTTATCAACAGCCCAGTAGAATGCTCAGAAATATGTGGCCATTTGTCGATAACCCACAGCTCCTTCCCGAGCTCAATGAAATCCGTCAAATCTGTGAAAGACGTGACATTCCACTTGGGTTGCTTGTGGCATATAAAGAGACGAGCACGTCGTTTCACTGCTCAGAATTTTACCTTGCGTACCTTTCGCTTTGTGAATTATTTTTCCACAAAGCGAAAGGTACACAGTTCCCTTGAGAGGAAACACCTACATAGTTCTTGCTTTCCACCATGTACATCAAGCGGAAATTAGTTGAAAAAGCGCATAACGGCTGGAGGTGGGGGGAGGGGAAGAGTGGAAGCGCAGTAGGTCCGCCGTTATAGACGAATTAAAAAAAGGCGAAATCGCATACAAGCCCAAGAATCGCCATAAACGGTGCAAAAAAAAGCGCGCTTGTATTTTGAACACCTCTCAATATAGGGTTTTCACCCGTTCGTATTTAACAATCTACTGCGAAAGCTTGCGCCCATTTAACTGAAAGGGATTGCTCCGGTCTCTGGGTGCCCTAAAGAGCAAGAAAATGAGTCACATGCCGGTTTTTCCCACCGTTTTCCCTGCCCCTCGGAGAACATGGTACTTGAAATTCACCGAATAATGCTGGCTGACGAAATCATGCTCCCGATCGATGCTCATGTGTGGGATGGCAGAGAATGCGGAAATGTAAATGAAGACAGGCCCATAACACGGGGCTCATAAATGCAGACCCTTTCAATGGCCGTCAAAACGTTTGATGAGGGTGAAAAAATAAGGAACAGCGACTTACGTCGCTGTTGTGCTCCAGGGACACTCGGTACGGTCGATCTTCGCACTGGCGCTGCTCGGTGATCTCAGGACGCCAAACACGCGTTTGCCCACCTGACGGACTCCTGAAACGCTGGGGAGAATGTAATAAGGAGAGCATAACGATACAGCATAAAGTACGCAATTTCCAGGGAATCGACTTGTTGTTCAAAACTTTTGAGTCACATTTATGCTGCACAAGTCTTGGTCTGATTCTAGCTTGCCACATATTCTTCGTAAAATGAGCTTATAAGCCATTTCGGTAAACCCTAGCCCGTGATTTAAAAAATGTAAACAAAAATTTACCACGCTTTCCTATTTGATCACTAATTCACCCACAATTCAAAATTCAACTCGCTAGAAAGTCACGTCTTGCACAGATCTAGCTGAGGCCGCTAAAGAACCTCCAGTGACTGGCCAAAAATTCTGGAGCGTTTTCTGGGATTCCAGTTCGACTCGGCTACTTCACGGATCCGTCCTCAGAGATCGTTACGATCTGCGAGGAACTATTTCGGTTCAGTGGCCAGAGTTTTGAAAGCCAATTTGCCCAA